ATATATAGTTTTTTGAAAAGTAACATTTTAAAATTTAAAAATATGGGACATAATCAATCTCATACGGACAATAGTTTAAATAATGAACACAACACTACAAGTCATGCATTTATCCTGGGGAATAGACACGTTACTTGATAGTGAGACTCAATTAAATAAACTAAAGAATTTATGATACCCGTTTTGGTCTGCGGAACATTTCATGTTAACCGACAAGTTCCCCTATGTAATATAAAAGATTTGACAAGGTTTATATTACATAGGTTCTTAAAGCTCACTATCAGGGCAAATCCCAATAGTTAATTACATCTTAAATGAGAGAAGTAATTCAAGAAAACTTTTGATTTAGATCAGAGGTATTTATTTTTATGAATCTCAAAGTTGAGGATTTCAAGGTCAAACGTAGGAAATTTCAAATGGGAAAGATCGAATAGGAACAATTATTTTCGGAATCCAAATAGAAAAAAACTAAGGGGTGTCACGGATTCTGAAAAGAACCTCGATGACTTCCCAAGTTATATTACGGTTTGGCTTCGATTTCGAGGAAATATTATTAGATGTTTCATCCTGCCAATTTTTATTATTTAGGGCTTACACTTGCTTGACACTGATCATGCAAATAGTCTCGAAGATAGGAGAGTTTAATTTGTAACGAACGACGACCTCAGAGATTAATACAAGTTAGGGTTTATATTGCACAATATGGTTATGCGAAGGTCTAAAGATAAGTTAAGGATTTATGTCATGCTAGATGAGCAACCTCAAAATTCTGTGACTTGCTATTTAATTCTAAGGAAAGGTTTGTTGATGACGATCTCGTTTGCTCTCTCGAATATGTTATTCTATCATCTCATTTGCTCTCTCGAAGATGTTCTTATGTATGTCTCCATCATGCTGCCCGCAGAGTTTGCTCCAAGCTCCTCATCGAAGTGACAACTCCAGATGCAGTATTTTATAGTTTTGTATTTTATATGTCAAGTTTGTTATTGCTTAAGTGTTTTAAGGGGATTTTGATCTCTGGATACTTAATGCTTATGCACAATATATTAATAATTCTGATGATATTTTTCACTTATATTTCTTTATTTTGCAACAAAACCAAAAACTTGATTCTGAAGAAAAATAAGAATTTAACTTTTTAAATTATATATATTTATATTGGGTTACTACACAAGTATAAGTATCGTTATCAAGTAATATAGGACTTTTTGATTAAGACCTGAATATCGAACCCACAGGGAAGATTATGCAATATGCACTTTTTAGAAAGTTTTTCTATTTTAAAAAGATAATTACTTAAACTAAAAATGATTTTTGTATGAATTTAAAATTAAAATTTTTTTGGTATTTTTGATATTTTAACGAAATAGTAAAAAAGAACTAAAGTTTTTTTGTATAAGAAAAGTATTTAATATGAAAATATTTTTCATCTTATCATGAATCAATAATAAGTATATGAATTATGTTGTGGAAGTATGCAAATTGTGTTGTGCCAAATATGAGCAACAATCTTCTTTACCCTTACTAGAGATGATATAAAGAACATTGGCTAATTTAAAGTTTGAATAGTTCTGAAGATCGACTATGCAGTGAAGATACTAACTCTTCCTCTAGAGTTCCCTCGATTCCCTCCACTTGGGGGCTAACATTCTCGTATCAGAACCTAAAACAATAAACCAAGTTGGGGGATTTAACATGTCACTTTAAAGTCCTCTAACTATACACCAATTAATAAATATTTCCCTTTTTATTTGCACTCAATCATATGAACTACATTCTCATTTATCCAACCTCATATGATTCTTTCTAATTGTTGACTGAGACAATACCAACATGGTTCTTACATGTTCTCACAACAAATTTTAACATCTGGATTGACCAAATCAAGAAGTAAATGAAGTGCATTGATTTAAATCATCACAACTTCTTCCAACATTAAAGATCAATACTCTCCACAACTTTCATCCAAAACTTAATTACTTATCATTTTAAGAACAAAGATAAAGAAAACTACTCAGAATCCATAAAGAAAACAAAACCACACTTTAGTTTAAAAGAAGAAATGATTGTCAAACCAACAATAAGTCTCAATTAAAACCAAAAATAGTCTAAAACAAAAAGATAAAAACTTATCTCATGTCCTCCACCAAACTCTTTAAGTTCCTTTGAATCTCTTCTCTTTTTTAATCACTCAAAACAAAATAACAAAAAGGATAAAGTAAACAAAAAGTGGTTCCTGAAAATCTCTCCGAACTAACTCCCCAGAAAAGAACTTTCAAAACTTGTCAATATTTTCAAAACTCACACTTTTTTGGACATTTTCAGGACTCTTTTCTAAGTCCTCTCTTTTTCTTTTATAGTTTTCCAATAGGTGCCTTGGGATTACTTCAAAATGTGTCTTAATTTGATGTATTTGCCCAAGAGATGCATCCTTTTATGATAATTTTTGTCCATGGTGGTTACAACCACCTATTAAGCTAATGTTCCCTCGATTCCCAACTCTTCCTCTAGAGTTCCCTCGATTCCCTCCACTTGGGGGCTAACATTCTCGTATCAGAACCTAAAACAATAAACCAAGTTGGGGGATTTAACATGTCACTTTAAAGTCCTCTAACTATACACCAATTAATAAATATTTCCCTTTTTATTTGCACTCAATCATATGAACTACATTCTCATTTATCCAACCTCATATGATTCTTTCTAATTGTTGACTGAGACAATACCAACATGGTTCTTACATGTTCTCACAACAAATTTTAACATCTGGATTGACCAAATCAAGAAGTAAATGAAGTGCATTGATTTAAATCATCACAACTTCTTCCAACATTAAAGATCAATACTCTCCACAACTTTCATCCAAA